AGAACAAGATGAAATTTGCAGCAGATCAGGATGAAACTGTTCAGAAGTGATACTCTGTGGTGACGTCATCATCATCATCATCATCATCATCATCATCATCATGTGGTACCAGCTCAGCCTGGGGGGGCGGAGTCATCTTCACACACGGTGACGGGTCACTTCCTGTATTCAGAGGAAGTTAAAGAAAAACACATTTATTACCATGAATGCAACTAATTCAGGAGACTGGATAATAAGAGACATTAATAAAGCAAATATAATATAATAAAAGCAGAACCAGTGAAAACCTTCAGTCAGTCAGTGATTGGTTGGATCATCAGGTCAGGAAATGATTCAGGGTTTTACCTTTGGCTCTGAGTCCAGATGAAAACCCAAGAGGAAACTGCAGATGAAGAACAGGAACATGACCACCAGGTGGCAGAGCAGAGTGACGATGAGGAGAGGGGAAGGTGAGCAAGTGGGCGGGGCTTCAGTTGTGGGCGGGGCTTCGGTGATGGGCGGGGCTTCATTCATGGGCGGGGCTTCAGTTGGTGGTTTTCCTGCAGAGAGAATCCAACCTGATCAACATTTATAGATAAAACTGACGGTTAATTTGACGAGTTTGTTAAATGTAATTCACACTAATTAGTACAATAAAAACAACACATTTGTTTGTTTTTCTGTTTATTTGCAGAGAATTGGGAAAGCATTTATTCTATAGTCTGTTTAAACGCCAACAAGAAGAACGAAGGATTCAGACATGATGAATAAAACATGTTGCACAACTAAAGAGAAGCTGCTGACCCCTGACCTTTGACAGAGACCCTCCTGGATGGAGACTCTCCAGAACCGCTGATGCTACATTTATAGAGGCCTTCATCAGAGCTGGAAACATGGAGGAGGGTCATGCTGCCTGCTGATCCATCACCAATGAAGGAGCCATCTTTATAGAAAGCAGCTGGGAGGTTGTGGGTTGGATTCCTTGCTCTGCAGATCAGAGTGACGTCATCTCCCTCCATCACAGGGAGGACAGGACTCTGCAGGATCACTGATCCTTTCAACACAGAGACAAACTACAGCATTTCATCCATTTCCACACAGCAACACTAACTCCACAGTCTGATCTTACCAGAGACAGAGAGCTGGATGCTGCAGCTGCTGCAGCTGCTGCTGCTGCTGCTGATGCTGCTGCTGCTGCTGCTGCTGATGCTGATGCTGCAGCTGCAGGATCCGAGGATGTACTCACACCAGTATAGACCAGTGTCCCTCTGGAGAATGAAGGTCATGTTACAAGTAGAACCATCATTTTCTCCCCATCCATCCACATGGCTTCCTGGTCTCTCTGCTGGTGTTTCTCCTCACTGTCCATCCAGCTGATCTGTTTTCATCCTCACAGATCAGAGTCACTGATTCATATTCAAAGAACTGGGATCTGCTGGGACTCACAGTCAGATGAGTTGAGCTGCATCTCAGCAGAGAGATCAGAGCTGCAGAGAATCTCAGATCAGCTTGTAGTTTGTCCTCCATAAAGTCAGCAGAGTAAAATGAGTCGTTAACTTACAGATCAGCCTCAGTAGAGATGTTTCCTCCATGCTGCTGCTTGATGATCTGAGGTCAGAGAATAAATGAACTGTGTGGCTTCACACTCTCAGTCCTCTCTGCTCTTTGGTTTCCTCTCAGATGCAACAAAATGATCTGAAGCAACAAGATGAGAGAAAAGAAACAAGAGCAAAAGTTTAAACCAAATAAAAGATGCAGAAGTTTGAGATGATTTGACAATCAGGAAACTGAAGTTAAAAGTCTTTAAGTTGAGCATCAAGATGTGATCAAGAAACGTTTTTATTAATGTTCAAAATGTTTAGCAAAAACTTTGTGGTCGACTAAAAGAGACGCAGAGATCCAGGAAGAGGAAGAGTTTGTTCTCAGCGAGTCAAACTGCTGCTGGTCTCATTGGATCCAGCTGCAGAATGGAGGGAACATCTGTCCACAGGCTGCTGGGTGAGTCCATCTGCTGGATGTGTGCAAATGTTGAGAGACGATCACTGCTGCTTCCCACAGCAGAGCTGATTAAAGCTCCAACTAACCTGAGAGTCATTTCTCTGCAGCTCTGATCTCTCTGCTGAGCCGCTCAACAAACCAAGGTTACAACCTGATTCTGATAACTCTAGATCTAGACTGGATCCTGTTGCTGGAACTAATGAAATGTTTTATTATTTCAGTTCATCTGACTGTGAGTCCCAGCAGATCCCAGTTCTTTGAATATGAATCAGTGACTCTGATCTGTGAGGATGAAAACAGATCAGCTGGATGGACAGTGAGGAGAAACACGACCAGGAAGCCATGTGGAGATGGATGGGGGAAGTTAAATAGATCTAAGTGTGACATTAGCAGCCTCTACAAACATGACACTGGTCTGTACTGGTGTGAGTCCATCAATGGATCCTCCAGCAGCAGCAGCAGCAGCAGCAGCAGCAGCAGCAGCAGCAGCAGCAGCAGCAGCAGCAGCTGCAGCAGCTGCAGCATCCAGCTCTCTGTCTCTGGTAAGATCAGACTGTGGAGTTAGTGTTGCTGTGTGGAAATGGATGAAATGCTGTAGTTTGTCTCTGTGTTGAAAGGATCAGTGATCCTGCAGAGTCCTGTCCTCCCTGTGATGGAGGGAGATGACGTCACTCTGAGCTGCAGAGCAAGGAATCCAACCCACAACCTCCCAGCTGCTTTCTATAAAGATGGCTCCTTCATTGGTGATGGATCAGCAGGCAGCATGACCCTCCTCCATGTTTCCAGCTCTGATGAAGGCCTCTATAAATGTAGCATCAGCGGTTCTGGAGAGTCTCCATCCAGCAGGGTCTCTGTCAAAGGTCAGGGGTCATCAGCTTCTCTTTTGAACATAGATCTATCCATCACGGTTCCTAAAGACATTTCTGTTCTGTCCTTCATCAGTTGGATACATTGAATTGTCACCGACTCTAAACATGAAATATGTTTCCACAGTAAAACTGAGATTATCTAAGAAAACCAAACTGGAGGGTAGAAGATGGTGAAACCAGTGATTAGAGTCTGTTGGTGTTCAGAACCAATCAGCTCAACTTACTGTCCAGGTAAACTTGACCTCTGACCCCAGAATTGATGAACTCTGTGCAGGAAAGCCCACAGTGACTGTTGGTCCCACTAGAGAAACTCCCCCCACAGCTCCTGCCTCGGCCTCCAGGAACATCAGGCTGCTCTGCCACCTGCTGGTCTTCTGTCCGTACTGCATCTCCACTCTGCTGCTGCTGAGGTCTTTGCACCGTCAGAGAGCTGAAGGTAGCACTTTGCTTTTGATTGTCAGGCCATTTCCTGTTGTCATGCTTCACCTTTCTTGACCTCCGGGATGTGACCTCTCCGTTTCCATGGCAGCAGCTCCTCCAACCCAGGCTGATCAGGGATTGGATGATGATTATGATGTCATCACAGAGCATCATTTCTGAATTGAAGAGACGATGCCGTCACTCTCTGCTCCTGTTTTCACTGATCCAGTCTGACTTCAGTCTGTTTTGGTTTATTTACATTTTCAAATTTAGTTTTTTCACTTTTCTATAAAAGTTTGACATTTTCCTCAAGAATAAAGTTTCTGTTGAAATGTTTGTGAATGTTCCCTTTGCCAATAAAACTTTGAAATCAGAGATTCTCAAACTTGTCAGCCTGTAAAATAAAAGGATCTGATTGATAACTGGGTCAGAAGATGAGCTGCAGGAGTTTCCTCTCCTCTGAAAGGCTCAGAGTCCAATCATGTTCTTCCAGTACAGGTGAACAGAGCATGGAGTGATTAGTGTTGCATGCACCACCCTGCACTGTTTGGTCACCACAGCCACTCCGGGTCAGCATGGAGGAGGATCAGAAGGATCTGAGATGAAGAAATCATCAAGAAGACGATCATCTTGTGATGCTCTGCAGTAAAACCTCCGAGTGAAACAGACCAGCTGCCAAGGTCTCAAACTCTCTGTGGTTTTTCCAAAACCACAAAACTGGAGCAAAGAATCAGGAGGGTTTTTATGTGCTGCAGGTTTCTCTGGGTTTAATTCCAGAGTGGTTTAAACTCCTGGATGTGATGAAGTTCATATTTCTGCAGAAAACAATGAATGAATCAAAAAAGCTTTTACTTTAAAGCCAACAAAGAGAGTAAAAAATACAATGATGTCTAAATCCAACAGCTTCAACAAAAGTACATTAAAGAAATGAAGGTTTTTTTGCATTAGAAGATGAAAACTCAAGAACTCAAGAAAAAAACCTTTCAAAACTACAAATCCGTTAGAATGAAAAACTGTTTTAATTCATCTTATTTTAACAAAGAAAGAAACTCTGACTTTAGTTGATTTGGTTTTGCAGAAGCCGCATCGATACGGTTTGTGGGCAGGAGTCAAATTTGTTGATTTTGATCAGAATTTGGTCAATAAATCTGATTCTTAAATGACAAATATAGTGGAAAAATGATCAGTACAGCAATTTTAAAACGTAAATATGAAATTGTTTTACCTTTAATTAATTGATTTAGGACCAAAAGGAAGAAAAATCAAAGGCAAACATCAGGGGACCAAACAGAAAACCCTGTGGAACGCCACCATAATGAATGGGATCATTACACTGGAGCTTCATGCTACGTTGGAGGCTAAGCTAGCTGCAGCTCCTGAGCCAGGCTTCAGTTTCAGGTAAAGTATTAATGTGTTAAGATCCCAACAGTAACCAGCAGACACCAGAAATATGAACAAACATTTTTTAACTTTGTCTCGCTTCAATAAGTTCATGTTTCCATCGTTAAGATGCTTCAACATCATGAGGTTTTTATCCCTGAGGTCTGGTCATCCAATCAGACGTTTCACTAAATCCACTAAACCCGGAGATTATCCCGGTTCTGATGGAGTCAGTTTGCTCTCATTCACATCGACATGATCCGACACACAACATCCTCTGGGAACAGGAAGTCTGCTGGCAGGCTGGAGGCTCCTGCTGCCGACAGGAACATGTTAAAAAACACCAAACCAGGATGAGACCTACATATTTTAATGGTTTGAAACTGAAATCGCTCAATAGCAGCTCTGAAAACACCGTCTGGACAAGTACAACATTTGGTCCACTTAAAGAAAACTCTGTTACACCGGTTTAAAAACCTCTTAATGCCAAATCACAGGGCATCACTTCTCCAACAATAAAAACAATTATCTCTCAATTATTACAGTAAAAGTGTTTCTGATACAGTTAAAAATCTCCTGATTTTAGTGCAAAAACATTTGATCAAAACACAGCTGGTCAGGCCACAATATTCCCAGAATGCATTGCAGAGCGACGACCTGCGTCCATCACCGACCCGAAGCAGTACAATCATCTTCATGAACGACAGAATCATTAAAGAACCGTCTATTTATTGTTCAGTATAAGAACCTCTGAACCAAATGTAGGAAAAAGCATCAAGTAAAACCCAGACTGAACTGAAAAACACCAAATTTAACAAGTATTTTTAGTGCAAATATCCGAGTAGAGCTGAAATAAGACAAAACTAACTGACAAGAAACGTTTCAGCAGCTTGTTTTAGGTCAGTCAGTCCTTAATATTGATAAAGTCATAGTTCACTTATAAGACAAATAATCTGCCAGGGGAATCAGTAGATTATAAAATCAATTCTAAGAAATTATTGAGTTAAAACAAGATTTTACATCAGAGTTTCTCAAACGTTTTCAGGATCACTTGATGTATTTAACTCTCACAGACCATCGAATTTCAACTGAACCCCAACATCAACATGAACAACCTGAAACGAAAGGATTGGTCTCTGAACTCGTTGCTTCTGCTCCTCCTGACATGAAGGTGGCGCTGTTTTGTAAAAGGCTGTGCATAAGACTGACACTTGTTATGAACATGAAGAAACCTTATGAATGTTGTCATGAAATGACTTTCAGTAAATAATCACATATTTTATTCTAAATTGCTCTAAAAGTCCATTAAATGTGCCGTCAGTCTGACGCTCGCCCTTCATTACAGCTGCTAAGTTAACTTTGTCTTATTTCAGGTGAACTTAGAGAAACTGGACTAAAAATACTCGGGTATATTTGGAGTTTTTGCGCCGCAGGGCGTCCCAGTCCACAGCCAACAGGAAGTTGTCAGCAGCATTTCCTCCTGGTTGTTCGTCTCTCGGGTCACTTGGAGGCGGGTCTGTAGCTCTTCATCAGAAAAGACCTGAAGAACTTGCATGTGGTCACGGCCAGCAGAGGAACCGCCACTGCGACGACCGGCAGCAGGAAGGCCAGGTACCGCTGGACGTCGCCGTCTTCTTCCTGGTACCTCCTGAGGATCAGCGAGTCGGCGGCGGCGGCGTCAGGGATTTGACCTGCAGATCAGAGCCAGCAGTGAGAGTAAAGCCCCGGCCATCAGATCCGAGGCGTTCGGCCCAGACTCACGTTCTGGACTGACTCTCAGCTTGATGACCATGTCGGGCTCAGCGTTCAGAACCGATCTCTTCTGGCGGGTCCCCAGCGCCTGCACCACCCGGCACTCGTACACGCCGCTGTCGGCCGCCGAGGTGTTCCTGAGCACCAGAGACACCTGGCCCTCCTTCATCTCCTTGTCCAGCAGCTCGGCTCGCTCCCGGAAGGCCCGGTCCTGGAAGTCCGGGTGGAAGTGCTGGTCCTGGTACAGGATGATGTAGGACATCTTCTGGTCGGTCCGGCTCCACTCCAGGTATTTGATGGGTCCCGTCACGTCGGGCGCGCGGCACGGCAGAGTGACGGGCCGACCTTCGATCGCCCGGATGTGGATCTCAACTGCAGAAGACAGAAACAATGCATGCTGGGTAAACAACAGACCAATCAATCAGTCACAGTTTAGATTCAAACAAACTCAATCATTCCTATAATTTACTGTTGATCTCTGGTCCATAAAATAATTAAATTTGGAGTTTTAGTCTCAACTACACAATTTTGTTTTTGGAGATTTTATAATTCATTTATTTAATGTTTCTATTGCTTTATTTATTTTGGATATTTGAAATGTCTCTCAGTTCCTGCATTAAATGTTGATTAGATTTTAAAGTTTATTTACGTGTTGTTGCATTATTATGTCATTAACATTATATTACTGCAAATGGTCTCTAAACATCATCATTTATAATAATCAATAAATGCAACTTGTATTTGAATAGTTATAAATTGTTCAGTAATGTTTTAATATTCTACTGAGAGAAAAATTATTCAGAAATGAAAAACTTTTAAAGGGACAGTTTTATACAACATTTTATAGCATAGTAAAGTAACTATGATAACATCAGTTATTATAAAAATTATATATATATGAAAAATAACTGTAATTTAACTAGATGAAATTGGACCACTGTCTCTTTAAAAACTCCTGCTCTTTCTTTAACAACCGTTTTACCGGAGAAGCAGCTGCCATGATGAGTGGAGCAGATTCTCGGTGTTTGCTAATTCCTGCTGGCTAGTCTGAAGGAGCTGAGTGTGGAAGGGGAGAGAAGCTCAGAATCCCAAGAGGAGGAGCTGCAGAGTGTTGACCGAGGGGAGGGAACAAAAACGTACGCCACACTTTTCAGTTCAAATTGAAAATCGTTTCGTGAACAACCAGATGAGGTTTCAGCTGCAGATGAACAAGCTTGTAGTTTTTTTCCTCCTGAAACATCGTTGAGCTCAACCCTGGTTACAGCTGGAAGGGAGAGCGATGTGTGGAGGAATCTGGAACATGCAGGCGAGAAACGATGCTGCAAAAACGATTAAATCTACAAACAGGAAGCTTCACCAACATGCACAAGCAGAAAAAGAAGAGAGGAGCTTTAATGCTCCAGTTCAGGAAATGTTTTTATCTTCCATTTAAATGTCAGAATATTGTAGGTTTAATACCAAAGATTGAAGCTGTAATCATTAAACATCTAGCAGCCTTCTCCTCTGAGGCTGCGCTGTTATTTCTTTCTTTGATAGAAAAAAGTCCTGATGCTCAAAATCTCTCTGCTGTTCACACTGTTTACTTTTATAACCATGAACTAATCTGTCCTGCAAAGATAAGCAACGTCCCACAGTGAAACAATAAAAACTCTCCTGCTTAATAAACTTAATGAACATGATGTCAAATTAAAAAGGTTTCAATGTAAACAGGATATAAATGAAATTACATTACAACAAAGACATGATACTGTGGTTAATTGAAAAAAATATTAATTATGAGATAAAACTCATAACAGAAATTCAGCTTTTGATGACATTTACATATTAAAAAACCTATTGAAAAAACTGATTATTTATAAAATAAAGAAAAGAATAAAAACTTTTAGATACAGGATCATCAAAAATAATCATTTTTAAATCTATTTCATGATGGATTATAAACATGGATTGAATGTAACGCAGTGAATAAACATTTACAACAATACAGGATTTCCGGTGTCCGCTGCAGTTACACGCTCTGACCACTAGGGGCAGCAGTGGCGTTCTCCTCTGATTAACGTTTATTTTCTGATTCAAACTTCGTGTTTTTTACGTTTAATAAGAAAAAATTGGAGACTCACAGACTAAAGCTCCAGCCAGCTGGGATCCGGTCCAAACCAGGAGGAGGAAAAGCGTTAGGCGAGCCATCCTGAAGACACACACACACACACACACACACACACACACACACACACACACACACACAACACACACACACACACACACACACACACACACACACACACACGTCAGACAGGTGTCTCCTGGCTCCTGAACGCATCATCAGCTCAGATCTAAAGACATTAAAGCCTTAAAGTGAAAAACAATCGTTGTTTTCAGTAACTCTTACCTTTCTGCAGCTTGTCTCCGCCTGATGAAACCAGCCGGACCAGGTGAGGATAACACCTGCCGAGGGGGCGGAGCTTCTGCTGCCTTCACTGTCCGCCCAAAACTCTGAAATTACAATATAATGAACCTGAAAAATCTTTTCTGAAACGCATTTCAGCTCCAAAATAACTGAGATAATAGAGATAAATGTTCAGTAATGAATTAAAGACTTTTGTAATTTTTCACAGTTTAACTCTTTAAATAGAATAAAATACAATTAACTCCCTAATAAAACTTATGCATTTCAATTTAATGAGTTACAAATAATGTTTATTTGTTCACTGAATGTTAAAACCTCAATATAATCAATTTCTCTACATTTCCTGTCTTTAGGCTCCTGAAGGAGGAACTTTAAAGGAGGGATTGGTTTCTCCGTGGTTCAGTGAAGGCAACAGTGTGTGTGTGTGTGTGTGTGTGTGTGTGTGTGTGTGTGTGTGTGTGTGTGTGTGTGTGTGTGTGTGTGTGTGTGTGTGTAACAGCTGTGGTGAAATAAACTGGCAGTTTTGCAGGAGCCACTCCTTCAGGTGGAGGCTTTTGTTTACCTGAGCGATGACGTCAGCACTGCGGACTGTGTTTTTATCTCAGGTGGAAACAGGAAAGCTAAACATCACCTTCATAGGATCATCGATCTGATCTCCTACGGGGGTTTATTTTTATTTTTGTTTGACTTTATTTTAAAAGAATGGGTCAGTTGTTTCCATAAGTGACCAGCAGAGGGCGCCGTGCAGCTGCTGCAGCCGGTGAGTCAAACTTGATTTTCTTCTTCCAGGTTTTGGTCTCAGGCCTGAAACTTCAGTTCAGTTGGACTAAATATAAAAAATACTTATTTATTTATGAGGTTTGAGAGTTTTTAGAACATTATGAACTGACGGCAGCAAGCAGGCCTTTAAAAATAAAAATAAAAAATACCACACAATAGACCAGCTGATCATTTTCCTGAAGCTCTTCGTCCAGCAGCTTTTATTCTGCTGTGTTCATGTAGTTCTGGGTGTGTGAGCAGATAAGCAGCTAAATAAAAATAAAAGAAACAATTTGCCACTGGTTCTCTCAGCTCTGGTTCTTTTTTGCTCCTTTTATCTTTTTTTTTATTCTTGTGCTGAACATGAAATAATGTGAAAAATCTCCAAACATCGTCACAAACAAGCAAAACAAAAGCAAATAAGAATTAGAACATTGAAATGAAAATGTTCTTTCTGTTGTAGAATCGCTGAATTAAACTCGATTTACAGAAACACTTTGGGGACAAATTGTGTGTAAATATCTTCAGCTAAACTTTACCAGTCTTTCCAGTTTAAAAATAATATATTAACATTTAATATTTTTAGTGTAGATACTGGTGAATGATATGAAACGTATTTATTTAAACTGCATAAAATCAAACTGAACTGTTCTTTTTATCCATAAATATCAAAAGGTTTTTTTCTGCCTCCTGTAAATTCATGTAATTGTTGAATTTGGGTCAAACGTTTTCTGCTCCTGTCGCATCATCATGTCAAACATCCTGAGACTCAGACCAGCGATTTCTGGTTCTCACAGCCAAACGCTGAACTTTCTGTCCCTCCGTTTCTCCATCTGGATGATGAAACATGAATTTCCTCACAACGTCGCTTCATGATGATCTGATTCTGAAGTGCAGCAAAAACACGATGCTGCAGTTTTCCTGTAAACGTTCGGGTTTGTAACAACATTCCTTCAGTCAAAACTTTTCATAAGTCGACCGTTTGCAGTTCAGCATTCAGCTTATGGATTTATTGTCTATTTACTGAATATTTCATAGAATTTATCTAAAATATTTGAAAGTGCAGCTTTGAAGCTGATCTAGGAAAAATTCATTTTTCTTGGGATGGAAAGAGGCCTAGTTATTTTTACTTATTTATTATTAATAATTACTTATTTATAGTTAAGGTCCTGAAAGATTAGAGTGACGGCCTTGTGATCATTGGAAGGTTTATTAATAATTATAGGTTTATTAATAAATAAAAAACCGGGTTTGTGCTGCTTTTCTATTGTTTTATCATTTCTGATTAGACAAACTCTGAACTGCCAGCAGTTTTAATGATTTTTAACTTCAGGTTAATATTGTGATGAAAGCTGGAAGCAGTTTCAGCAAAACCGTCTTAAAACCAACACTTTGTACTAAAGAGGAAACGTTCTGTAAGAACCAGGCTGCAGCCTCCTGATCAGGACTTTAATGCAATCGTTTGTGGAAAAACATCAGAAAAATACAGATTTACAAGACAGCAGCAGCTGCAGCTGCTGCAGCAGCAGCAGCAGCTGCAGCAGTCGGTACCAGACAGGCTACTGGAAACTAACAAACTTACAAATAAAAACATGTGAAGAAGCAGCAACTTTAAAAAATAAAGTCCAGATTTGTACAAAAACAACACAGACTCATCTCTGCAGCACCGTTCTGTAGGTTTTACAACATCCTGCCTGGATTTAACGCTTCATGTTTCATTCAACATTTATTTAAATAAAATCAAACAACTACGTTTCCCATCAGCCCCTTCTCTGAGGGCAAGATGGCCGAATGCACCAGAGGAGTTTAAGATTAGGAACTTTACACAGGAAGTAAAAATTTGCACAAGTTACTCAGTGTTTTAGTTAAAGTTTAATTAAAAAGACTAAAAGTTTAAATCAGTATTAATGCTGCTGACTGAAATCACAGATCAAACCAAAAACTAAGAAGGAAACGAGCCACAAGTTTCCACTGGGATGAGAAACACAGCAGAACGTCCAGCAACAGGGACCAGAGCAGCTGCTGTGGACGGGTCAGAGCGGTCCGGTCCGGTCTGATCCGGTCCGGTTCGGTCTGGTTCAGTCCGGTCCGGTCCAATACGGTCCAATACGGTCCGGTTCAGTCCGATCCGGTTCGGTCCGATCCGGTACGGTTCTGATCTCAGGAGGAATCCACTGAAGATTAAAACAAAAAGCAGAAAAATTGATCTGTTTTTATTAACATTTCTATTTTACAATCAATAAATTACATATTTATATAAAATGCTGCAAATCTCTAATTAAAAAGAAAAAATGTGGATATTTTACAAATTTCATCTGAATAAAATGTGATCATAAACAATTAGATTAAGCATAAAGGCAGTAAATATAGTAGCATTTATTAACAACAGCCACATATTTCAAAAATTAAATGATTAAAAATAAAAGATCAGAAATAATTAAAACACGAGGAAATAAAAATATCCTATAAATTAAAGAAACAGAATCATGTAAAATATTCAGAAGATTTTATATTTTCAACCAGTTTTGAAGTTGAGATTCTTCTAATATTTGATCATTTTAACATCATTTGGTTTCATTACCTTTTACCTCCAGCTTGTCCACCTGTCCTTCGCTCGCCTCTTCCTCCTCCTCCTCCTCGTCCCTCAGCCGCTGCGTCTCCTCCGGCTCCTTCTCCTGCAGCAGCGAGCGAAGGAAGGCGGCGCTCACCACCTCCTCGCCGTCGCCCGCCAGGAAGGCGTTCTTGAAGCGGTTGTAGAGCATGGAGGCCTTGTCCATGACGCCTGGCTGGCCCGGTAGTGCCGCATCTGGGGATCCACCGGATCACAGCAGGGAGAGGGACAAACTCCAGGTTTACCAGAAAACAACGAAGAATCGCGATAAACGGTCGAAAAAGAAGAAGAAGCTCTTCATCATTCAGAGTTTTAATTCACAAACTAAAGTTGTCCACAAAAAGAGAAAAAAGTGTTTTTGACAGTTTTCACTCATTTTTAATACTAAGGAGATATTGTTGGTAGAACTGTAAACTTTTAGCTTCTGGGCTGAAATGGAACCTGATGACTGAAAACAATCTTTGGTCTTTTTTGAACCAAACAAATTAAATCCCAACTAAACCAAATGTGTTCAAACCATTAAAATCAGAGTTTCTGCCATGTTTGCAACATTCAGACCCTTTACAGACAAAACTAATCAATAATATCACCTGGTTTATCAGCTAACAGCTGAGTGGTTTGTGCCGGTCGTGTGACCCAGGTTTACCTTCCTGAGCGTGGCGATGAGCTCGCTGTGCCTCTGGACGTGTTCTGACGTCACGTACAGCATGCTGAGCTGGTCCAGCGCCGACAGACACTTCCTGATGTCCTGGGGACAGAAGCACCACACTGCTGTCACCAGGCGGGAGTTTTATAGCAGTCTGAGTTTTTATTCGACTTGTTTGTTCTGGTAAAATCGTTACGGGTTTGTCCGTCTTCAGAGAGATGCGGAGGTCTCCGTTGATCCGGTGCAGAGTCGAGTCCGTCAGCGTTGAACTGCAGTTCTTCTTCTGCTGTCCCTGATCCGTCCCGGTGGGACTCTCTCCGTCGGCGCCGTCCTCCTCCGCTGGCGCCGCAGATTCAGTCCGTAAACCTGCAGCCTGCGCTCTGTCGGCCCCGCTCTTCTTCTCTTCCTTGTTCTTCTTCTGCTGTTTGCTCTCCTCCAGTCGCCGTGATCTCGTTCTCTCTTTTTCTTTCCTGAGATTCGCCGTCACGTTTCTTCCTCTTTTCCCGTGTTAATCTCATCGCCTCTGTTTCCCTCCTGCCTTCTGGGTTCTTCTTCTCTTCCTGATTTCTTGTCGTTTTGTCTTCAGCTTCGTTCTTCTTCTGCTCTTCCTTTTTCCCCTTTTTCTCCTCCATCTCAGAGTTTTTAGCATCAGACTTCTTGGCTGCCTTCTCTGTTTTTTCTGTCTCTAAAGTCTTTTTCGCCTCCTCCTTTCTCCCTCCATCCTCCTCTTTCTTCTTCTTCCCCTCCTCCTCTCCAGCAGCTTTGGTCAGTCCTCCCATCATGGTCTTCACATGGATCTTCGTCCCCTGATTGGCTTTAACGATCTTTCCAATTATCTTTCTCTCGTCTTTCTGCTGCTTCGTCTCGTCTTCTTCTTTCCTCTCGTCCTTTTCTACCTTCTGTCCATCTTTCTTCACTTCCACAGCCGAGCCTCCAGGAGACATCTTTTCCTCCTTCCCACCAGTCTTGTCCTCTGTGGTTTTCCTCGTTCCTCTGTCCGTCCCGTCTTCACTCCCCTTTGTCTCCACCGTCGTCTTTTGCCTTGAATCCTTCTCCACTCGTTTATTTGTCTTCTTCCTCTCAGCTGTGGACTTCCTGGTGGCCATCTTGTCTCTTCTGGTGCTTTCATTCATCTTCTCTTCCTTCTGTCCGTCCGTCTTCATGTCTGAACTTGTCCTGTGGTTGGACGGTCTCTCTCCTTTCGTCTCAGTCGTTGACTTTCTGGTGGACAGTTTCCCCCCTCTGTCCGTCTTCTCTCCTTTCGTCTTTCCTCTCACCTCTGGGTGGCGTCTTCCTGTCGCCAGACTTTCCTCCGTCCCTGATGGAAACACAAACCCAGCAGAGAGGAGTTAGTCCGTCTCTGGACCGGTTCTGCCGGATGAAGAGCGACTCGTCTTCCTTACTGGGAGCTCTTCGTCATCTCCTTCGTCTTCAGCAGATCCCTCAGCGACTCGATCAAGCTGTCCCTCCGCGCCGCCAGCTGATCCTGCCTCTGTCGTTTCAAAGAGTCACAAAGAGTTCAAAATCAGAAAGGTTGAATGTTTACAGGTGTCCAACGTGTGGCTCGGGGGCCATTTGTGGCCCTTGGATTAATTATGTGTGGCCCTGACTGCAAGTCATTAACGGCTCATTAGTTAGCCTTTTCATTTTTATTATTATATTTCTATTTTGTAACAAGTTGTGCCACAATCATTTTGACCTCAAGAGCAGACTGACATCCGGAGAAACTTGTGAAGGAAAATTCTTACTTTTGTTGCTGAGAATAAACTAAAAACATTTTATAGGCTTAAAAAATGATTAAACTTAAATAACTGTAAATATTAGAGCCAATGAAAAATATGACATGATTTAGTTTTTGCTGTGCAGGTAATAGAGAAAAAGAAAACATTGAATATTTTCAGTTTGGTGATTTTTAGGGTTTAATTGTTGAAGGAAGGAAGACGTTTATGTTTCATGTTTCTGTTTCTCATCCTTCTCTTCTTTGTTTTTGTAAATTTGGGGTAAATTCATGTCCAGAAATGCTGCACTAGTTTCATTTCTTCCTTCTCATCTTTCTCCATCTTTGAGTCTGTTTGTAAATGTATGGAGTTCATTTCATGTCCAGAATCATTTCTGCGTTTGCAGCTTTTACCTCGTCTTCCTTCTCCTCTGCCGTCTCCTCCCCTCCATCTTGTCTCTTCTTCACCTCCTCCTCTTCCTCTCGTCTTGCGGACTGCTGTCCTCTCTTTTCTTCCTCCTCTCCCATGCCCTTATGTTTTCTTTTCTTCTGGACCTTCTTCTCTTTCGCTCCCATCAGCATCTTTTGTCGTCTTCTGCTCTTGTTTTCTCTAAACTTGGTTCTGGTTTATCTTTCTCTTCTTTCTTTCTTTTCCTTCTCTCTTTGGTTTTCTTGTCGTCCTTCAGTTCCTTACTCTCTCCTCTCCTGGTCTTCACTCGTTCCTCCTCCTCCTCTTTTCTCTCTTTCTCTGCTCTCCTGACCTTCTCCTCTGTCTTCTGTTTTCTCTTCGGGTTTCTCAGTTTTTCTGGTTTTGTTCTCCGTTTTCTCCTCTTCTTTTTTTTTTGCTCGTCTTTCCTCCGTTTCCTCCTCGCTCCTCGTCTTCTTTGCTTCCAGGTTTTCTTGATGTTTCTCTTCCTCCTCGGCTCTTTTTGTCTTTGTTCCTTCAGTTTTCTTCTGTTCTTTTTTTGTTTTTATTCCCTCTGTTTTGTCCTGGTCTTCTCTCCTCTCTTTGTCTCAGATGAATCCTCTCTCCCTCCGTCCTCCTGACCTTCATTCTCTCTTTGCCTTCGTGTTTCTCGTTCATCACCTCTGCTCCGTCCTTGTTGGTCTTCTTCGTTTTCTCAGATGTCTTTGTCTTCGTCAGCCTTCCTCTTCTTTATTCCCTCAGAGTTTTCTTTCTCATCTTGATTCTCTTCATTTCTTTCTCCTGTCTTTGTCTTTCTTGCTCCTCCTCGTCTTTACTTCTCTTCCTTCCTCGGTTTTCTCCTCCTCCATCTTTCTTTTCGACGCTCTGCTCTCAGGCTGATCTTCCATCCTGTCCTCGCTGCTCGGACTCAGTTTCTCTCTTCTCCTCTTTCTTCCTCTTGGCCGCCTGGATTTCTTGCTTTCTTGCATCTTTTCTCTCTTCCTGGGAGGCGGCAAGTCAGGAATGTCACTGAACTGCCAAGAAAACAAAACGAATATGTTTAATCACTGATATCAGTAAAAAAAAACTGTTACTGGAACTGATTTACAAAACTGATGTGAACCGTTTTGACCAAGTTTTGGTTCCATTTGAGGAAAAAAAAATTTCCGAACATAAATCTTGAAACATCCACAGTAGAGCTCCTTTGATTTGCTCTAATCAAGTTGTTGCAGGTCTATTGGTCTCAGGTTTGCTCTGAACTAACAGCACAGAAAATCATGGTGATCAGCTTTGCCAGCAGCAGGTGCTGCAGAGGAAGTGTGTTCAGATTGACAGCGAAGAACAAACGCAGGCAGTTAACATGCTATTGGTTGTTGTGTCTGTAACTTAGCAAACACTGAGAAGGCCTTATCCCACGTAGCGATAGCACCTGATAGCAGAGTGTAGCATTACTGAGCTAACAAGTGAACCCTATCAACAGATGATGCTGAACTTTAACTATCAAAATCAATGAGTTTGCTTCCTTCTGTCCAAAATAAAAACAATAAAATAAAAATGTACATATTGTGTTTATTGAGGTTTTCTTTTTTTCTATTTTAACTATTTAAATCGCACCAGCAGCTGCATTTATAAAGGAGGAAACAGTTTTTGTGAGGCTGGCAGCATGAAATCCCGGCGGTCACCTTTAAATCTGTTGCTCTGCTCCGGGTGGAAACTCGTCCTGCAGCCGCTTCCTGCTCGCCGCTGCTCGCCGTTTCCTTCTTGGCCAGAGGTTTGCTTCCTGTCCATCCGGCTGCAGGTTTTCCATCAGAGGCAGAAGAAGCTCTTCCTGATCTCACCTGAGGAAAAATGAAACTGTAAAAACTGCAGCTGAGCAGAACCTGAACATATCAGATCTGTCAGCTTGTTAGATCTACTATTTTGGTTTCTTACCTCTCTTTTAGTCTGAGCTGGAGTTTCCTTTTGGGTCGATGGTTCTGCCAGTGACCCAGCGCTCGCCGACCGCCTGCTTCTCGTTGGCGCAGCGACCTCTCCTGCTTCCTGATCCGGCTTTGGACCCGTTGGTTTCTCTGGAGCTAATCTGGATGAGGTTCTAGTAGCAGCCGGCTGCTCTGCTGGTTCTTTACCCTGTTTGGACTCTGTGGTGTTAACTGGAACTGATCTAGACGATGTGGTATCGTCATCTCCGGTTTCTTTTTCCACTTTGGAGTCTGTTGGTTTATCTGGAGCTAACCTGGTTGCAGTCTGATCTGCAGAGTCTTCACCCTGACTGGACTCTGCTGTCTCATTAGAAGACAGCCTGGTTAACTCTAATCTAACCTCTCTATGCTCTGCAGTCTCTGTAAACTGTGTGAAGTCATTTGGATTGGACTTAGGCAACCTGACTGCAGCTGCAGGAGGTTCTGCAGACTCTTTGCCCAGTCCAGAGTTCATGTCTTCATCTGGAGACAATCTAGAGGAGGTTCTTATAGCCTCAACATGATCTGGAGTTTCGTTATCTAGCTGTGGTTCTACAGATTGAACCGACCTTGATGAGGATCTTGTAGTTGTGATACAGTCTAGTGTTTCTTTATCTTTCTTTGTTTCTACAGCTTGATCAGAAGTCAATCTGGAAGAGACCAGATCTTGTTTGGTCTGGATTGTTTTATCTGGAGCCGATCGAAACGAGGTTCTTGTGGATCTCTCTGAACTTTCTTTCTCACCCGAAGCTCGACTCGGGGTGCTTCTGCTTGAAGCAGGCTTAGTGTTGCACTCAGACTTAGTGGGAGCAGAAGCTCCTTTAGGTTTTCCATCAGGAGTTTTAGCTGCAGGAGTTTTTCTGGAGGACACAGAAGTAGATTTGGAGAGTGTAGTAGAAGGAGAAGCTGGTTTTGCTGGTGTTTTTTTAGTGAAGATCTTCGATTGAACCTGTGGAGAAAATACAACAGAGTCTGTAAAAATCTTTTAAACCTCTTTTCCATCTCTGAGTTCATTACACTTTAAATAAACCCAAACCAATTCCAGTAACATTTTACAGTCCACCCAAGTGGAGCATCCTATCTAAAGCTGTAGCGCTCATAAAACGTCATAAAAACACAAACATACATAGTCATGTCTTCATAAAACACCAGACTGTCAACTGAAAAAAAACAACTGTCAAGTGTCGTCATTACACATCAAATATTTCGCTCAATGTTTCATTTATTATTTTCAGAAGCAGATCTAACCAGCTGGAGTTTTATTTCTGCAGTTTTCTGGAAGTTTGTTCCAGATTTGTGTATTTAGTTTCTCTGTACCTATCAAATAAATGTCATAAATAAATTTTAAGCAGAAACAAGTTTGAACTCACCTTGAGTTTGCTGCCGAGGCCGGGCGTGTTCTGGATCTCCCACATCCCCTCAGCGAAGCCTTTGATGCGGACGCCGCTGCCGTACTTCAGCTTGTTGCCGACGTACGGAGCGACGTTCTCCGGCGTGACGGAGCCTCTGGGGAGAGAACGACCACAGCCGGGTTAAAGACGCACACAGAGGGACAAACCTGATTGGCTGCTGGGAGAACATACATCTGATGGGTCCCGAAAAAGTAGACAGGGACTCGCTTCCTGTAGCCGTTCTCTGATTTACAGACCTACAAACACAGACGGGTTAAAGCATCCCAGGTCAGAGCAGCTGTGTGTGATGAAGGGTGTGTTGTCTGCTTGTTTACCCGAGCCGGCCAATGAGGAAAGCCTTTCATCTTGGCGAACACCAGGTCGCCGGCCTTCAGGGGGTTACTGAGTTTTCCAGACATCCTGCTGCTGCAGAAAGTGACTTAAGGAAAGCTGAAAACAGATATGATGTTAGTGATGATCACAGATTCCTGGCAGGCATAAAAGCAGGCTGTGTGATGTCCATTTCTTAATCTAATGATTTCTTCAATACATTTCTGCCATTTAAAATCATGTTTCTTGTTTTGCCACCTGGTCCAATAACAAACCTAAACCAAACAGTGAAACATGCATGAATGGAGCAAAAACTGAAGGTTTACAGAAATAACAGCAGTAATGAACGTTTGGTCCATCACTGCTTCCTCAGCCTTGGCCATGTGAACACATCAGACACGTGACATCACTTTGCTGGGTTTAGCTGCCAGGTGTGCTCTCTACCTGTGATCTGCTCCAGAACATTGACAGCTTTTCCTGACCACCTGTCTCTTAATTATCATATTAACCTTATTCTGTTTACATATTTACGGATTAGCTTAAAAATGTCTTCATTTCAGTTAGCAAACCGATGCAGACGTTTTCCAAACACCGCTGGAAACAGCTGTGTTCGCTGTAACATCCCCCAGGCTTCAGTTTTAGAGGAGCTTTTCAGTCTAACTCAGCAGGTTTCGCTTTGCATCATGTTCACTCATTGTTTACAAATACACTCGTCCCTGCTAGCTAGCGGCGTGCTAACTGTCTGCCAGGCTGAACGGAAACGGTTCGTAATGTCGTTGTGGTTTTATAAAATGTTCGTATTTCCGTTTTCTCACCTGAAACTAAAAGACAAACTTCTTGAATCAACAGTAGTTTAAATAAATCGTCCCGTTGCGAAGCTACATTCTGACGCCCGCCGCCATATTGGCCCATTCACTCCTGTGACGTAGTCGCTGACGTATTTCCCGCCATCCTGGACCGTACCAACGGTACCAACCTGTGGGGGTGTTTGAGTCATATCAAAAACTCTTTATCTACCTTCAGAAAATGTATGGAACCATGAAACATAGAAAAGTCATATAAGAATAGCAACTGTTTTTCATTCTGGTTTATTCATCAGTGCCACGTCTTGTTACAGCTGCAGTTATTTTATAGTTTAGTTTTTCTCATCCTGGTAGGGAAGATTTAAATCTGCTTTTGTTTTTTCTTTGGTATAATCAAGGTCTTAGTCTGAATTTTTAAATCATAACTCATATATTTTAATCTGGCCTAGTTTTAGATATTGATAATTATCAATAGAGGGGAATTTAACGTAGGAAGTAATAACGTAATGTGATGCTATTTTTGTTTGAATTAGTTTTTCTCAGAGAATCCTGAGGTCCCATCATACTTTACACCTTGTATTGGTTTATAGGATTAAATGTGAAGAATTAACAGTACTTCTCCATAACCTTGTGTGTCTGACCATTTTTTATAACTTTTGAGTTGAGTTCTAAAAAGTTGGCAACAATTTACCTTTGTTTTGAGAAATCGGTCGATTTTTGCATGTGAAGCTGATCTTATCTATCTTGGGAAAGGTCTGAGAATCAACCACTGTCCTCTTTTGCTCTTTAGTGAGGAAGGTTTGACTGACAGACTCCAAATTATGTCTGCAAGTTTAAAATTAACAATAGTGACTCTACTGTTGCCAACTCAATGGCATTTTTGCTATATTGAGCAACTTTTCAAAAATCGGTATCAAACAAAATTGGAATGAGCAGGTTAAGATTTTTAAAAGATGGGTAATCGGCCAGAAAACTGTAATTGGTGCAGCCCTAATTTTAACTCAGTATTCCAAACCAGAGAAAACAAATGGATCAAAGCAGATCTTTATCATGCTGTAAAAACTTTTAAAGAAACTTTTCCTCAGAATCTTTTCTTCAGAACAGGGCAGAAATTTCGTCTTACAACAGATCAGAGCGCAGCAGGAAACCGACATGAATCCAAGAACTGCAGGAGATCCAAACATTTATTTGGGGTTAACTGACAGTTAGTTCTCAGTTGCTATATTCAGCTGAATTAAATACTTTAAATATAAGCTGGTTTGGGTGCAGCAAAATCCAGAGTCGTTCAGTTAAAGTCTGTGGATTTACATGGTTCTACTAACAAAAGTTTGTTTGGAAAAATATGAATACTTTTTTATGCTTAACATTTTTCATTGAAAGAAAATACTCTCAGTAATAATTTCCCCTTGACTAAAAATGTTAAATAAACAAATCTGTTGTTTCTGCAGTTGGGGGCCACAAAAGATCATTTAAGAGGGCAAAAATGGCCCGCACCCCTCAGTTTTAACCCCCCTGCTCTATATGGATAAAACTGATAGGAACATAACCAAAACACTTACAGTGAAGTTCAACAACTTTATGACTCAGAGGGATTAAAATAAAAAAAAAAAACCTCAAAACTTTTCAGATTTATTTGGTAAAATATTTTGGAAAACATGTATAATCTTAATTCCATTTTATGGTTATGAAGTACTTTATGATTATCTAACATAAAATAAAACAAACTCCTCTGAGTTGTTGGAATAACGGCAGTGTTATTTTCTTTTGCATAAAGGTCAACACTGGTACTGATGTTTTCAAGATGAAGATTCACCAGAGTTGAACAACGTAACGTGAGTCACCTTAATAAATATCTGGCAGAGATATTTATTAAGTTTAAAGTCATTTCTTTTCCCAGCATTTAACTCAGTTATTGGACTGAACCAAAGCAGCAGCTCACGAGTTCTCCACGCTCTGAACAAAATGTCTGCCAGCGCAGAAACATTATATAACGTGGTCCGTCTTCACAGAATTAAACAGCTACAGGAAGCATCTTGTAGTATGAAGCAGTGGGAGTTTCAGTCACTCCCACTGTCGCTGTCACTGTCATCACCTTCCTCCTGTTCTTCTTCTTCTTTTTTTCTCAGTTTCCTCCACAAGTCCAGAGAAGAAGTCATTGTCGCCGAGGGCCTTCTTGGTGAGCGACTTCATCCGCCCACCTTTCTTCTTCCTCTTGCGGTATTCGTCCACGCTCAGTTTGGGCAAACCAGAAATGTCCCAGAACTTGATGAGCTGGTCGTGGGCACAGCTGACCAGGAAGCGGGAGTCCCAGGACTTGGCGATCTCTTCGACGGGTTCGCCAACGTGCTGCCCGATGCATCCGATGACCCGGTTGGGCAGAAGGTTGATGGCTCTGACAGGAGACGGGGGCCATGTTAATGGTTAAACCCTTAAAGGATGATTTGCAATAACTCAACTAACCGGATGTATCCGTCCATGGACGCCGTGCACATGATGTTTTCTGTAATGGGCGCGATGCAGTCCACCGACTCCGCCTTCAGAGCGAAGCGGTCGCTGGTGGCGCCGAAGCCGTTCCAGTTGAAGATGTAAACGGTTCCCTCGCTGGAGCCGCAGACCACCTTCTTCCCTCGCTTCATCACCGCCACCGAGGTCAGATCGCCGCTCTGGTACTCCGACAGCAGCTCAAAGCGCCGCCTCTTCAGGTTGAAGACGCCCATGGTGCCATCCCCACTGAGGACCCGGCAGTCACAGCAGACATCAGCATAATAATCAGGCTTTCACAGATTCAGAGAAACCAAAAACAACTCCAGCAGCAACACCTACATTAATCTGTCCTGGTTCTAAACCTGACCAGAGTAGAAATAAGATTCACATAGTAAAAGTTCTTAAAGTGTTAAAACAAACCAGTATTAACAATGATAACAATTAAACTAATAACAGTAATAACTTCTAACTTTCTGAAGAAATTCAAAAGGGCGTGTCCCACCAGGGATTCTGATGCTGAAATTAGCAACAATGCTAATATTAGCTAAAATGTAGTCAACAATGTGGGATATCGTTAGCATATTAACCAAAATGGACTTACTCATTATTATGCAAATATAGTATATAAGCTAACATTAGCTAAGTTATGGTTAGCTTACATTCTGTAGCTAGCATGTGGACTTACTTTCACTTACTCCATTTACTTCACTAAAAATTAGCTGGAATGCTTATTCCAGGCTAAGGTTAGCATTAGGCTATATCATTAGCATATAGAGTAACTATTACGTAAAACTACAACAATGATGAGTGTTATCATTAGCATGTTGACTAATAATGATTTACTCCATGCACTATGCAAATGTTTTAACTTGAGCATTGTATCTGCATTGCTATGGAAAGGCCCCAAAATTAATAAGATACTGTGAAAAACTACAACAGAATATACTGTACACTTTTAAAAATCAAACTACTGGAGTTGCGATCCAGGTCCAGATAAGCGTCGAATTACCTGGCAGTGAGCAGAATCCTCTTGTTCTGGTCCACAGTTATGTCGCTGATATAATCCTCATGGTTTTTCATCTCCATGATGGCTGTTCCCTTCCTCATATCCCACACCTGCAGAGGAAAATGTTACGCAATAAAATGTTTATCTTCTTATTTAAAGCGATGAATTATTTTTTATTTGCATATTCTAATGTATTTCTACTATTGTATGAAAAAAGGCTTAAATGGTTGCATGAAAAATCTGCAGGTGCCAATTTTTATATCTGATTAATAGAATAATTATCACAATGCTTGATACAATAATCGATTATTAACATAATTGCAGCCTTACTTCATTTTCCTAATACTCTACCTTTATTCTGGTAAAATAATAACTTTATTTTACCAGATAACTTTACTATTATGAATTTATTTGGTATTTATTAATTTATTCTTGAATTATTACAACCTTATTCTTGTATTTGAATGCTTTTTTTCTGGTAATATTCTGACTCATCTTGCTTTCCTTTTATCTTAACTCTCCTTCATGAACACAGTAGATCTGCAGGGGGTAAATACTTTTCCCCCCAGCCTTTCTGTCCAGTTTCCATGTCCAGACCTTCAGGGTGCCTCCATCGTCTCCGGTGGCCAGCATGTTTTCGTCTACCAGCAGCAGGCTGTTGATGGGAGCCCCGTGGGCCCCCCGGATCCGGGACACCAGCTGCCCCCGCTCCATGTCCAGCAGGTGGACGGCCCTGTCGCGGGACACGCTGTACAGCTTCAGCCCGTCCGCCGAGATGCGCACCTGGCGGCAGGACTTCAGGTGGTGTCCGGACGACCACAGCTCCCGGTTCTCTCCCTCCATACAGGAGTAGGAGAAGGCGTACACATCCCCGTCCACGTCCCCGCACACCAAGATGTCCCTGCTGGGGTGCAGAGCCACCGTGTTGGCGATGGCCTCCAGCTGGATGTCCTGTGGGGTTTCCCGGAGCTTCGGGCCGGGAGGCTCCTCTTCCTCCTCCGCATCTTCCTCCAGTCGTTCCGACTCTGATTCGGATGTTCCGGGGTCTTTATTCGGTTCTGTTCGGTTACATTCAGGTGGGTCTGCCTCCTCAGCAGTGGGTCCAACGTGCTGTGCGGAGGCCGCCATGTTGTTTTGCTTTGTGTCTTCTTCTACGGTTAAAAATAGGAGCGTTTCCGAGAACAACCCCTGATCCTGACCTCTAGTGACCAACAATAAAACATCATTAAAGCAAAGAAAAATGAACAGATAAAATGTAAAATTCCTTAAGTTTTCATTGAAAAGTTTTGTCTACTATTTATTGTTTTGTTTCTACCACGGAGTATACACGAAGAACACACAACCAGGAGAATAAAGTTGCAATAATTATTATTTCCAAAATACAACTTTATTCTTACTTTAGTCTGAAGCTACCTCATGAGTTATAACAAGATTTATTTTCCCACTAAAGTAGTTTTAAGTTTTGATGGAATTTCAATGAATTAATATTTGATCTGTTTATTTGGCTTTTCAGTTGTTAAATCTCCAGCAAACAAGGCAACAATTTGGTCGCGCCTGATTGGCCGCTCTGACAAAGAACGCGTTCATACGGAAATGACGTAAGGACGCCAAAGATGGCGTGAGTTTCAACCGTCCCGAGCTGAATGTTACAGTAAGTGTTTCTTACGGCTTACAGGGGCTGAGTTATGATGTGTGTCGTTAATGTTAATAGACATGAGGCGGTTTATGGTTGTAAAAGGCGATAGCAGCTAAAAAGGCGGTTTAATGTTCCAAACATCCACGAAAACTTTGTGTTGTCGTTTCACTTCACCTTATCACCACTTCTTAATTCAAGTATATACATTTATTTGATGTCATGTTACAACTGGAAGTGTTAGAAAAGCTATTATTAAAGTTAACATGTTGAGATTTATTCGTGGTACATAGAACCGTTCAGGAGCGCAGTGATTAGCCTTCAGGTAAAAATGGCGACCGCATTGAAACTCGTTATTATCGCCGAATTAAACAGCGGATCAGAAACCTTCAGTAGATTAGTCTCTTTTTAATATATCTATTCCACAACCAGAGTTATAAAGTGATTAATTCTTATAGCGCAGTTTTTTAAATGGAGATCGTTGCAGAGAGACGTTCGAAGTTGGCAGTCTGTTGCCAAGGTAACGGCAGCCTCAGCCAATCCCGTGCCGTCTGGGTCTCAGAGGTTGCAGCAACAACATCAACATGGAGTCAGTCAAAAAAAAAAACATGGAGTCAGTCAGTCCTCTGGGAGGGAAAACTGGAGCATTTCAGCTGATGGCCACTGGATCTGTTCATCCTGGATATCACTAACCACACCAGGGGAAAAACAGACAAAAAACACACAAATAGTACAGTCCCACAGGGAGGTTAACGTAACTATCTAAATACCCCGCTGTTAGTGACAATTTTATTATTATTTTTATATTCAAAGTGTCTCTGGGAACTTTGATTTTGACTTTTAGATAATCAGATTACAATAAATAGGATTTATCTATATTTTAAATGTATTTTAGACCAATAATAGCACAATTATAAGTTGCATAAGGCTGGGATTTGAACCTGTGACCTTTTGCTGTGCAGTCCATTTGTGTTTAATTACTTTACAGTATGTTTTTTCTGCCTGCACACAGTCTCCTGCTGTGGAGATGGTTTTTAAAACATTATGCATCTCACTTTTTTTTTTTTTTACAGTTTCGCTACTTACTCCACTTATTGTTTAAATTTTGCCTGCAGAAGGAAAATAATTGTGTTGGAGACATGCAGCGCAGACCAGCAGATCGGAGCAGAAAGCCCGACTGGAGCCAGAGAGCATAGAGGAGAACCAAAGACCCCAAGGCAAAATTAACCCAGACTTTATTAATACACAACAAACTGCTGTTAAAATTAAGATGTTTAAAACAGATGAAAAGAAAAAAAAAATACCTAAAAAATTAATTTGAAATTGATCAATTCAAGTTAATTCAAGCAAACATTGATCTGAAAATATTTTTACTTAGTCATTGAAAAATGGATATACAATAAGGTAATATAAGCTTTGTGTTTCCTTCAGGAGGCGAGAGAGGAAGAGGAGGAGAAGAGGAAGGAGCCGGAGGAGGAGTGATGAAGAGGACCGTAAGGGAGAGGAGCGCGTCCTCAGAGAGGAGGGACATCAGCCAGGAGTCCAGAGAGCTCAGATGGAGGCTCAACCAGCTGGAGAAGGAGAATCTGAAGCTTTCAGTGCGCCACAACCAGGAGGTGAGGCTGCAGCGCCCTCCAGTGGCCGAGATAAGAATAACAGATCAGCAAAAACTGAACTCTGCCACCATGAAAACTTATTATACAAATCATTTCTACTGTTCCTTCTGTGAAAATAATATTTAAAAAGCAGAAAAATAGGAAAAAATTGAGTATTTTATTTTATTGTTGGTCATGTAGGTGTTATTTAGCCTACATACATCATCACTTCTCTGCTACTGGGTCCATTTCCTCCAGTGATTTACCAGAATATCAGGTTTGTACATTTATATTATTGGTTTATGTGTGTGTGTGTATTCAGGTGTGTTTCCTGCAGGCGGAGGTGCCCGTTTTCGCTCCTTCATGGAGCGCGGTGAGGCTCAGCGAACGAAGCTGCAGTTCCAGCTCGCTGCCAGCCGCAGAGAGAGCAACCGGGTCGCCGAGCTCGACCGGGACAGAACCGCTCTGACAGGTGAACAAATCAAACAAAGGAAGAGAACAGAAGTGGAGGACAGCAACACCTTCTGCAGCTCAGATGATCGAAAACATGCTGCAGCACTTCTGACTGTGTTCAGTTTATTATTATTCATGTTGCAGAGAAATCAGCAGAGCTGCAGCAGACCATCGCAGAGCTGCGGAAAACTCTGCAGGTCAGCCAGCAGGCCAGGCAGGACGACCAGCAGGCGGTGGAGGAAAGGGACCAGCTGATCCAGAACTTCAGCTCCGAAAATCAACGGCTGCACCAACTGCTCCAGGTCAGAAAACCAGCAGCAGCACCAACTGCTCCAGGTCAGAAAACCAGCAGCAGCACCAACTGCTCCAGGTCAGAAAACCAGCAGCAGCACCAACTGCTCCAGGTCAGAAAACCAGCAGCAGCACCAACTGCTCCAGGTCAGAAAACCAGCAGCAGCACCAACTGCTCCAGGTCAGAAAAAGAGCTCACACTGTGCAGGAAGCAGAGGAAACTCAAACCACTTTGAGTAGTGTAGTAGTAGTAGAAGAAGAAGAATACACCAGTCCTGCTGTTCAGGAACAAGTCGGTTCAAAGTGCTTTATGGTATAAAAACATAATGCAGTCAGCAATTATGAAACAAGCAAGTAATGTTGCATTTTATCCAAAGCCTTCATCTGAATTATAAAGCAAAAACATGTCGAATATGCTGGTTAATGTTCCAGTTATTAATCAGAGATAACACTGGTGAGTTTTAGCCTTGATTTAAAGGAACTCAATGTTTCTTCTGTTTTGCAGTTTTCTTGGGAAAAATTGTGTTGCAGCAAATTTGTAAAAGCCTCTGACTGAAGATTGTTGGTGTTAACATCTCAACATCCAGGCAACAGAGATAATATTAAATCATGATGTCGTCTGCATAAGGATGTACTTCATTCCTACCATTACTAATCCCTGAAAACCAAAAACTGAACTGACTTTTAGACCATTAGCTCTAAACAGAAAATTCTCTCAAAGAGACAGAAACATAAAACATTTGAAGCTGCTGTGGCGTAAAATTTAACCACAAAAGTAACTCTAGTAGAGACCAAAATATCCAGGATTTAGCTGCTTATGTTCAGACGGTCGGTTCTGTTCTGTAGGACCAGCAGGTGGCTGTGGAGGCATCTGAGAGGAAAATGACCGACCTGCTGCGGGAGAGACAGAAGGAGGCGGAGGAAAACAGACGGCTAGCCGAAGAGCTGAAGACGCTGCAGGAGAGGAGCGGCAGGGAGAAGGAGGTGAGGCGGACCGACGCTTCCTGCCGCTCTGCAGATGGAGGATGACAAAGATGGAGGATCATGTTTGGTGTCCTCCAGATCGCAGAGGAGAAGGTGAAGCATCTGGAGGCGAACATGGAGGCGGAGAGAACGGCTCACCTGGAGTCCAGGAGCAACCTGGAGGTCAGAAGGTTAAACGACTGCTGGTGTCAGTCATTGAGGAAAAGGTTTCCTCTGGTAGCAACAGAAACATGAAACACAATAAAACAAGCAGCTTAAAAAGCTTTAAACTACTGCCTGAATAATAATAGCAAAAATGGTTTTTGAATTAAAAATGTTGCTTCTTTTGTGGTTTCAGGTTAAAATGTGATTCATTAATTACAGACTCCAGTACATAGAGACTATATGCAGAGGTTTATAGACGTCCTATCTGTCTGACTGCCTCTGTGTGGCCCCTAGCTGCAGGTTCGGGACCTGGAGGCAGCGGTAGCAGTGGAGCAGTCCAGCCAGAAGGAGGCGCAGTGCAACCTGGAGATGCTGCGAACGCACTTCAGAGAGCTGGAGAGAGCTTACAGCCTGGAGAGGGAGAGGAGGGGTCACACTGACCACGCTCTGGAGCGGTGAGCGCCGCAGCATGGAGGCACCACTACGCTACTGTGCTATGCTGCTATGCTGTGTCGCTCTGCTATGTTGCCAAACCACTCTGCTAGGCTACGCTAATTAGTTATGCTGCTATACCACCTGTAAGGGTCTGCTGCTATGCTACACACTGCTATGTTACTTGCTGCTAGGCTACATGGTGCTACGCTGCTTGCTGCTAGGCTACATGCTGCTATGCTACTTGTTGCTAGGCTACATGCTGCTATGCTAGGTGTCCTCAGTCATCCCTCATTTCTAAACAGTTTATCACCTTTACTTTCTGTTAAATATTTATTTCCATAACATTTTTTCCACATTGGCCTTTATGCAGCCTGCAGACAGAGTTCAATCACTGCAAGACTGAGATGGCGGTTGCCTTGGAAACCGAGAGGAAGGCAACCTCTGACCTCTCCAAACAGCTTGAGGAGGGGAAGAGTCAACTTGGCAAAACGCAGTTGTTGCTGCAGCAGGTAACAGAGAGCAGATTGGAGACGTTTGGACAACCTGACCCCCTACCTGGTGTCTCGCGTCCTCCATGGGGGTCCCGACCCCCATGTT